TCGATGTTTGCTTCGACCATAGTCCATTTATTATCATCGTTGTGAGTAAGATTGTACGAAGTGGTTTTTTTAAGGAGTCTACTCACAATGTTGACATCGCTTAAATCTCCTAGATAACCTGTGGATGTAACTTCTTTCCGCTTGTATACATTATCTTGTAAGTGTAAAGCGTATAACTTACCATCGGTACCGGGTTTATCGAATCCTTCTGTGTCTCCGAGATCGGAAAGCGCAATTGTATTACATTGTCTGAGTGTTCCAGGGCCTGATGAATCAACCATTATTAATAATATGGAGTGTTACACTTAAGTATCCTATATGTACAGGTTGGTGTTTTACATCTAATACAGAAATTTTAAGGTCTGAAATAATACCCTGCTTAAATTTTTTATATTGTAATGTTCAGAAAGATTCCTTTCTACCGCTATTGTATTTTTCATTTTTCACTGGAATAGATCTGAGTAGAGTTGAAGGACTTTCTAGCTGAATATTATCCGTTGTACTGATCTGATCAAGATGGATGCACAATTCTTTATAGGGAACTAAATCGGGTAATTTAATTCCCTGTGCTGATGTCTTGATTACTGTTTTATCTCCGAGTGAAAAACCAAGTGTATCTGATATGTTCTTGTAAAGCAATACTTGCTTTTCTCCAGCGTCTAATTTCAGCATCCCATTCGACTCATTTCGTGTGAGACTAACTCCATGAGGCTTAAAAATTTCATCATTGAGCGAGCAAACGCTGTAATACCCATCAGGTATAATGAGTTTTCCAATACCTGATATCCATACCTCTTGCAGCACTTATATTGGTCTACAGCGGGTAATACGTTACATCGCATAGGGCGACTTCAAGTTGTCCATCCGAGTTATCGATAGTATGAAGCAGTTGAATAGACTGACCATTTGTTATTCCCGGGAGTGTAACATACATATTAAATATACAATGATACTATATCATAACTTAAATATGAAATCAATTTACATTACTAATCAGTCGATTGTAGTAAGTGCCTCTGGTGCTGAGTTTTTCGTTAAATTCCCTGATATATTTGAAAAGTACAGGGTCATGGCAACTAGTGATAAAATGGTGCACGATTGGTTTCACAATCCGATGCAATTTTGGCAGAATCAGTTAAACTTTGCCATATGGTGTGCCACAACGGGATGTGGTGTATCTCTTTATGCTCCAGGATTTGAACTAAATAAGTCTGTTGTAACATTTCACGTGTACTATCAGATTAGACGTATACTTAGAGAAATTAGTGCTCCATTACCGCAGGATGGAGCATGGAATTCCACAAATAATCCGTACAATAGGTGGGCATTCGAACGTATTCGTCAGGAATTTAATATTGCTAAGAGTAAAGATTGGCGTATTAAAGGAATTAACCATGGTCTAGGTGTTCCGTACAGCGGACAAAAAACTTTTAAAGAAGAAAGCGATGATTTAGTTAAAAAAACTCATCAACCATTCGATCCATTTAAGTTGTTACAGAAAAACAATCTTTTTGTAAGAATGCATAATCTTAATCATGGCTTGGAACTTTTATTATAGGCATGAAATAATGGTAATTAGCAACTCATTAAGACATCTACTGTAATTATGTAAGTGGGCAATATGAGGGGCTAAAACAGTAAGATATAGGTATAACACATGGAAAGATATATTGAGGGCAGGCGATGTAGGGATTGAGGAGCACAAGCAACATGCTGGGCCACTGATTACCAGGGGTGACGGTAGTAGGTTGAGGGTTGGAGTACTAGAGCAAAACAATAAAAGTAACATAATAATAACCAGGGATGACAGTAGTAGGTCGAGGGTCGGAGTACTAGAGCAAAACAATAAAAGTAACATAGCAAGAGAATATGCAAGTTGCCAGAGACAAAATAGATTTGGAGAGGAAACGTAGAGGAAATTGCCCTCGGGTTCATATATGGTTTTTTGGGGGAATAGTCCAGATTCCGGGGGTTGAGGTGGTCACATTACCACAAGTCCTAAAAAGGACCTTGAGGTTAGTCAAGAGTGGATTAGAATGATCTAGTGTAGGGGGGAAAGGTGGTTGACAATGATACATGGAAAAACGAGTAGAACTGTGACGTAGGTACCGGTTTAAAAAGGGGCAAAAGCCCCCAGATCGAGAGAGCGGCTAGAGAGCGACTAGGGAGCGGCTAGAGAGCGGCTGGGGAGACTACATCAGGACTGGTGCTCCGTTCTCGGCCAAAAAGCCTCCAGATCGGGAGAGCGGCTGGGGAGACGTCATCTGGACTGGTGCTCTGTTCTCAGCTTGTTGTCACGATCTTTCGAACCAGAAACCAAACTTAAACACCAGCATTTCTACTGAGACCGAAGCTTTGCGGCCGAAGTCTCGTATTTAAGTGACAGTAGAGTGGGTTGACCGGCAACACAAAGTGGGAATAAAAGCTGTTAAATAAAGACCACTCTTTGTGCTTGTTGGAGGAACTACGGTAATAGGTCCAAGGCCCTCCGGTACTGACATTGTACCTCTCACTCATCCCTGACCGTCAGCACCAAGAACGAGGGGATTACCGTAGTTCAGGTGAAGAGGTACACGAATTGCTACCTTTTATTTAACAACAATTACCGTCCATTAACACTGTTAAAATTACCTTGGATACGTGGTGGACTGATGCGGGGTACGATCTTCAGTGGTTGCACAAGCGAGGTAACCTTTGCGCAGCGGTTGCACAAGTAAAGTGGAACTGTGTGGCGGTCGCACAAGTGAAGTGACGTGGTGCAGCGGGTGCACGAGAACTTCCACTGTGAGGGAGATTACAGTCGTTGGGAGGAACGGTGCAGACGTTTGCACCTCCGGAACGGTGTGCAGACGGTTGCACATCCAGGACCACACTGAGCTTAACAAGGGGCAATTTGGAGAAAGACTGGTGGATGCTGAATCAAGCGGAGGAGTGACGTGCCAGGAAGTGATGGACAGAACTAACAATATTGACATTTTAACATTTTGTGTGGTGCCAAGTTTCATTGGACCTGGCCTGGTTAGGTAAGCAATATTTTGATGCATTGTGTTGAATACATATTGTAAAAGAACGAGATCCTTGAACATAATCATGCCACTAACACAAGACACAAACAACAACGGTACAACTGTCGACGTGGTTCGGCTTTATTTTAGGATAATGCTTTTGCAGAAGTAGATGCTGCACCATTGCAAGAAAACAAAACAAAACACAAAGACTTGAGTTGGATGTAAGGCCACAGGTTTATATACAGAAAAGTACAAGGACTGGAGAACACTCCGGGCTGGGAAACGCTAAACACGGCTGACTGTCAACCCGAAGGTGCCCGGTCAGAACAGCAAACGCGGCTCCGAGGGTAATCCATACAGAGCCAAATGATGGGACCCCCCAGGGAAAAGCGCATAGGGGGTCTGCTGTAGGCTCTACAACCACCATTATACAATAGAGCCTAGAGGGTACGCCTCAAAGACCCCCAAAACACCAAAATCACAACTCCCAGCCCAAAAGTGTTCCGCTACGCGTACAAACCAATTGTCGTGCGATGTAATGTGTAGAAAGTGCCAGTCCAGGATCATCTCACCTGTTGTGCACATACAAACCCGTGACTTGTTCGACACGTTTGTGCCAGGACAGCTCTTGCCTCGCATATATTAACTTGTCCACAACTACAATATAAAGGAAAACAAGCAGCAGAACATGTTCCTGATACATGAAGCATACAAATACATGAAATAAGATTAACTATGAACTGAGGAATTGTTATACAGATATATATGTTTGAAATGAGAAGTAATGGGTGGGATGGGAGGGAAAAAGCGTGTTACTGGTGTGGTTGTGTGAATGAAAAGAGGATGTAGCAACTAAATTCAGCTGAAACATGGATTACTTCCCTTTGTTTAGTGCATGTGAAGAGCAAAGACTGAATAATACACTAATAATGTGCCTTACACTATTAAACCAGGAAGAGTAGCTTCCCTTTGACCCTGGACCACAAAAACAGGGGGAGAAGGCCCCTTGAATTGGAATAATGTAAGATTACCAAAATAATGCATTTTATTAGTTAGTAATAAACTTAATTATTTTAGGATAATGCTTTTGCAGAAGTAGATGCTGCACCATTGCAAGAAAACAAAACAAAACACAAAGACTTGAGTTGGATGTAAGGCCACAGGTTTATATACAGAAAAGTACAAGGACTGGAGAACACTCCGGGCTGGGAAACGCTAAACACGGCTGACTGTCAACCCGAAGGTGCCCGGTCAGAACAGCAAACGCGGCTCCGAGGGTAATCCATACAGAGCCAAATGATGGGACCCCCCAGGGAAAAGCGCATAGGGGGTCTGCTGTAGGCTCTACAACCACCATTATACAATAGAGCCTAGAGGGTACGCCTCAAAGACCCCCAAAACACCAAAATCACAACTCCCAGCCCAAAAGTGTTCCGCTACCCGTACAAACCAATTGTCGTGCGATGTAATGTGTAGAAAGTGCCAGTCCAGGATCATCTCACCTGTTGTGCACATACAAACCCGTGACTTGTTCGACACGTTTGTGCCAGGACAGCTCTTGCCTCGCATATATTAACTTGTCCACAACTACAATATAAAGGAAAACAAGCAGCAGAACATGTTCCTGATACATGAAGCATACAAATACATGAAATAAGATTAACTATGAACTGAGGAATTGTTATACAGATATATATGTTTGAAATGAGAAGTAATGGGTGGGATGGGAGGGAAAAAGCGTGTTACTGGTGTGGTTGTGTGAATGAAAAGAGGATGTAGCAACTAAATTCAGCTGAAACATGGATTACTTCCCTTTGTTTAGTGCATGTGAAGAGCAAAGACTGAATAATACACTAATAATGTGCCTTACACTATTAAACCAGGAAGAGTAGCTTCCCTTTGACCCTGGACCACAAAAACAGGGGGAGAAGGCCCCTTGAATTGGAATAATGTAAGATTACCAAAATAATGCATTTCCACACGTTAGTTTTGTCAATTTTGCTGGGAAGAGAGATGTCGGGTCGCCGGAGAAGCAAGCGGAAGGGTAGTACAACAAGCAGGCAGTCGTCGCAAGCAAGGGGGTCTGCTCAGAGGCGTCGAGGGTCGCAGAAAGTTGCTCCAAACAATGCGACGTCTGATAGTGCTGTTCTTAGAGACGGGGAAAATGGCGACAGCAGCATGGCCGAAGCAGAGGTCCACGTGGTCCCAGAGGCTATCGACGAGATAACGCCTGTTTCCACTACTCCTTCAGGAGGTGAGTCGGTGCAAATTGGTTTTTATCCTAACAATACATATACCCCATCAGTTAACTCACAAATGTATCCTCCCGGAATTTCAAATCATGTCCCTCAATCCCAGTGTCATAACAATGCTCCTAGCATGGTTAGTAACCCAATTGCTCCTCATAATTCGCAAGGCATTCCCATGTTTCAAAATGTTGACATGTTAAATATGCCACCACCTACAACAACACAAAGTGTGGATGATAACCTGGGTTGTAATGTCCCTGTCAACATTAAAAACAAAATATGGAATGGTGAGTACATCAATTTCGCACTATTGCTTAAACCAGACAGAGATTTGATGGATTATATGACAACTTCGGCGGTATTCATCAGTACAGATGGACAGCTCGAGTTGAGGCCCAAGTCTCAAGGCAAGAGAATTGAGAACATTTTTGAATAATTAATTTTCGTTGTGTTCATTGAAATTCCTGTATTCTGATTAGCTGAATTGGTCACGTGTTATTGCATTCATTTCCCAATGAATGTAAAAATTAAGCCACGCCCACCGAGGCGCACTACTTTTATTACTTCGGAATGTCGGGGAATCCCAATATTAAAGCCGAGGGAATTCCCTTTCTGCTCAAGTGTATCGTCATGCACAGGACATTTAGCGACTTTCATGCATATGCATTGTCCAAACTACCCTTTGAAACCGATGGCCGAGAATGAATGAAACAGCAAACGTGCAGGCTCACTCGCCTGTTTTTTACTTCTCGCCTCGGTTCAACTTTCATGTCTTCGGGTTTCCTTTCTAACTAGCATTTTTCCAACTGTGTTTTACCGTAATCAGGGAAGTAATGTTTGAATCTGGCGGTAACTGACCATGTAATTTGAAACAGCCGCCTTCTCCCGGACATATTTCTTCCAGTTCGTTACAGTCTGACTGTTGCAGTTCTTTTCGCCTCTTGTCTTAACTGACAGGTCCAATAAACATTGTTTTGATCCTGCTCTCCGTTGATTGGCTACTGACAGTGTAGGCGTGTCAATTTATGTGCATAAATTAAACAATCACCTGATTCATGTCACGCACAGTATGTATTCCTACACCTGGAATGTTTATCAATCTCGTCATTTTTGTCTGTTTTGATATATACAACTGTTTTTGGTTAAACTATTGTAGATAAAACATGTTTTATGCTGTCGAATTTAATTATAAGCATTGACTGTGTATTCTCTTCGGTTCATTGAGGTATGAATCGAAAAACCAATGTGCAAACTTTTGTAAGAATCCGCTACGCGGATTCATACAGTTTGCACATTGGTTTTTCGATTCATACCTCAATGAACCGAAAAAAATACACAGTCAATCCTTAATTGGACAACGGCTTTCACAACTTACATGAGTATTTATGTCCAGCGCAGGATGGACATGGTTCAAGGTTTACTGACACACATGAATACTGTCCGTTTAGCAGCGTCTCGTCATACTGGTTTGGGATGGAGAACCTATGATGAACAATATCGTCTTCGCCAGGCTCGTGACCAGTCTCTACCATGGGAAAAATTGAATGTGGAATTGTGGATGTTGTTTGTACAGACACCTTACCATCAACAGGTCAGTTCTGGGTTTTCTGGATTTCAAAAACGACACATCAGCACATTTCAGGGCAAATTACAACGACCGGCAAACAACACCTGTAACAACTTCAATCAGAGCAAGTGCTTTAGACAAAAGTGCAAGTACCGACACAGCTGTTCTGCATGTGGAAGTGATGCCCATCCAGCCTGCAGATGTACATCAGCCAGCACTCCTTCCAGAGTTATACAAGCTCGGTCGAACACCAGTCAAGACACAAGTGCTGGAACGTATGGCAAAGCATTTTCCGGATCAGGCTCAAGCTCAGTTTCTCGTTAATGGTTTCAAATATGGCTTCAAGCTAGGATATGATGGTCCAGTGGTAGGTGCTATGGCAAGAAATCTCAAATCTGTTGAAAATAACCAGTTTATGTCACACTTAAAACTCCAAAAAGAGTTGGACTTGGGGTAGAATAGCAGGCCCATTTGACTTCCCTCCTCTACCAAATTTTAAGGTTTCACCGCTCGGATTGGTCCCTAAGAGCACTCAAGGAGATTATAGGTTAATACACCACCTATCTTTTCCAGAAGGTCAGAGCGTAAATGATTTTATTGATGAAAGTTTGTCTTCAGTTCAGTACACTACATTTGACCAGGCAGTTCAAATGGTTCAGCAGCTAGGGCAGGGAGCTTTACTGGCTAAAGCCGATGTAAAGAGTGCTTTTCGCTTAATGCCTATCTGGCCAGGAGACTTTAGGTTATTAGGTTTTACTTTGGAAAACAAATTTTACTTTGACAAATGTTTACCAATGGGTTGTTCAGCAAGTTGCTCTTTGTTTGAAAGATTTTCAACCTTTATTGAATGGGCTTCAGCACGAAGATTCAGCAATGGAAAAAGCATGCATTACCTTGACGACTTCCTTTTTGGGGGTAAAAAAGCTACAAACCACTGCCAAATCGTTCTGGATTCATTCATTTCGGTATGTGCTGATCTTGGTGTACCAATAGCTACAGAGAAGACAGTGGGGCCAACAACAAAGCTAACATTTTTAGGCTTGGAACTAGATTCAGTCAACATGTGTGTGCGTGTGCCAGAAGAGAAGCTCTCTTATTCGTTAGATGCTATAGACCAATTTTTGGCACGTTCAAAGGTTAGATTAAAGGAAATGCAGTCGTTACTTGGTTTACTTAATTTCCTGTGCAACGCAGTTCCATCAGGCAGATGTTTCCTCCGACGAATGATTAATGCAACATGTGGTAGGAAGCCTCACCACCACATAAGATTGACAAAGGATATGAAGAGTGACCTAAGAGTTTGGCAGAGATTTTTGAAGGAGTTCAATGGCGTTTCCATAATGAGATCAAGGTTTTGGGCTTCAAATGCTGATCTGGATTTTTATACTGACAGTGCTGGTGGACAAGGCAAAGGTTTTGGTATTTATTTTGCCGGACGATGGACCTGTGGACCTTGGCCGAATCATTGGGTACAGCAGGGTTTGATGACTAATATTACCTTCCTTGAGTATTTTCCCATTGTAGTTGCAGTTGCGATATGGGGTCCTGAGTTACTCGGGAAAAAGGTCACATTCCATTCTGACAACCAGGCCGTAGTCGAGATCATTAACAAGATGACCTCAAGATCAGATCCAGTTATGTGTTTGGTTAGGCACCTTGTCTTGAGTCGAATATCACAATTAGAGGTGAGTAAATTGAGGGGAAAAAGAATGTTCTTGCTGATGCACTTTCACGTTTTCAGTTAGAGAAATTCAGGCAGCTGGCTCCAGATGCAGATTTGGCGGCTACTCTTATACCAGACACAGTTTGGAAGATTGTGGAAGAGAAGTAAACCGATTACTAGTGGCGGCTATTTCACACAATACGAGGAAGGCTTACCAGGGAGCACTGACCAGATTTTCACGCTTTCGACAACAGTTCAACTTTCCTTATCTTTGGCCGGTTCCATCAGGACAACTTACAACATATATTGCATTTTTGTCCCTGAAAGGTTTGGCCCACTCTACACAGTGTCAGCACCTTTCAGCAATAAGCTACCAACATAAGCTCACAGGATTGCATGATACCACCAGCAATTTTATCATCCGAAAGATGCTGGAAGGCTCCAAACGACTCAAGGGTCATAGGGACGGCAGGGCTCCAATCATGTATTCCATATTGATTAAGATGCCTCAAGCTCTTAATGCTCTTTGCAGTTCTCCCTATGAAGCTATTTTGTTTACAAGTGCATTTTTTCTGGCCTTTTTCGGTTTCATGAGAGTTGGCGAGTTGGTTTACACTGACCATCTTCATTTGGAACGGCCTCTTAGGATTTCAGATGTCACAGTCCAGAGGACATTTTTAGAAGTAACCGTGAGATCGTCGAAGACAGATCAGTTAGCAAGGGGTTGCACACTCCACATCCAAGGTAATGCAAGTGAAATGTGCCCACTAAAAGCAATGAAGCAATACCTTGCACTTCGTCCAGTGGGTTCAGTTTTTCTGTTTTGCCATAGGAACTGTCAACCTTTAACAAGATACCAATTTGCAGCTATGGTTTCCAAATGCATCAGATATATGGGACTCGACCCATGTAAGTTCAAATCACACTCGTTCCGCATTGGAGCAGCCACTACTGCCGCAGACATGGGCGTGTCATCGAAGACAATACAGATGTGGGGTCGATGGAAGTCTAAGTCTTACTCAACTTACATTAGACTCTAAACTTTGAATTCACAATCAATGACTTCAGGTAATTTGCTATTTATAAATAATTATTATTTTTCCAGATGTATGGATAATAGGCTCATCATTCATTTATTGGGCCCATCGTCAGTCGTTGAGGTTGAAACTGGGAAACAACCTGGGACTGGCTTACCTAGGGTTACGTTTTTACTGGTTTGGAAAGAACTTGTGCAAGTCGTCCAGACACAATTAGGCCGTCTAACCCCCCCCCCCCCCCAAGTCTAATACTCTTGCATTTGGGATCAAATGACCTTGTTGACCAGAATATTGGTTCCCTCGTTTGCCATGTTACTGATGACATCTACTACCTGGCTCAACTGCTGCCAAGTACAGTTCTTGTTTGGTCAGAAGTGCTACCAAGGTTATACTGGCATGGAGCTGTCAACCCAAAGGCGATAGAAAGGGCTCGACGTCGACTGAACCGAGCGGGGGCCAAAGCAGTGTTGCGTTGGGGGGGGGGGGGGGGGGGGGGGGGGCGCTGTATTTATCACAAGCTTACCATGTCTGAAACAGGACTTTTCCGCCATGATGGCGTACATCTTTCCGAAGTCGGAAATGCATTGTTTGTAAACACTTTACAAGAGGCTTTTCAGCACTTCATGGCAGATACTGAAGTAAAAAGTAAGGTATTTTTGGCTAATTAATCTCTTGCACCATAACGGTAATCACAGTACAAGTATTGGAGGAGTTGTGTATAGACACATCTCGTGGCGGAACACTTTTGGGCTGGGAGTTGTGATTTTGGTGTTTTGGGGGTCTTTGAGGCGTACCCTCTAGGCTCTATTGTATAATGGTGGTTGTAGAGCCTACAGCAGACCCCCTATGCGCTTTTCCCTGGGGGGTCCCATCATTTGGCTCTGTATGGATTACCCTCGGAGCCGCGTTTGCTGTTCTGACCGGGCACCTTCGGGTTGACAGTCAGCCGTGTTTAGCGTTTCCCAGCCCGGAGTGTTCTCCAGTCCTTGTACTTTTCTGTATATAAACCTGTGGCCTTACATCCAACTCAAGTCTTTGTGTTTTGTTTTGTTTTCTTGCAATGGTGCAGCATCTACTTCTGCAAAAGCATTATCCTAAAATAATTAAGTTTATTACTAACTTGAAGAAATCATTTCCCAATGAAATTCCCCGAACTCAATTATTGCGCTAAATAGTGCCAACGACATTATTGACATAAAACAACAAATGCTTGAGCCATTTACTTACTTCTTACAAGTGGTCAGGCATCTAATGGCTATAATTGGTCGAAACATGGATGATTTTATCAGGGATCTTGTTCTTAGAAATGCATCTCAGAATGTAAAAATATTTGTGATTACTAGACGACATTCTACACTTGCTAAAGTTATTTAGAACACAGATTACGCTGCCGGGTCCCCTCAGTTTGAGTCAAAAGTAAGCTTGCAATTCACTTACTGAGTGAACAGGTGGACTAGCCACTAATTCGCGACAATCTTCACTCCAACCAGTAAATGTTATTAATTTGAGCCAGTACCTTCGTGCCCAAACACCAAAGACTCACACACCTACCAAGAGCCTTAGAGACACATACACAGTCAACATTTTACTGTCCTCAGAATAAGTCATAATCCAGGGAAAACCACAATGGCAGTGGTGGCCGTTTCACCCAACAGGGAAAGGTATACTACACTCCAATGCAGGGTTTCGCAAGTTACTCACAGCACACTTTGTGGCCAGCAAATCATTTTGTCACTGAACCTGATACTCAGGAACCACGATCTTATCAGTTGTTCTCCTGCTCCAGTAAAACAGGCAGGGGCGAGCTGGTCCGAGTTGTTTACATTATGGCACTGATGGTATGTGCCAGTGTCTATTCACTAAAAAAACAGTCATCCCTTGAATTACAATCAATATGGTAACCATCTATAATCATTTCGGGCTTCAGCCCATTTAGGCAATTCATTAAACATTATAAATGATGGCAGGTATGGGTTAGGCGCATACTGAGGTATGTTAGTACGAGAAACCCTTAGTAAAAAAAACAAACACACAAACAAACAAATAAAAAAAACAAAAAAAACATAATTTTTATAGAAACCAATAACTCCAAAAAAATTGAAAAAAGATCCAAACTGAGATGACAGATTCAGCTTCGGAAAATTGTAGACTTGCTTCAAATTTTAGGGCTATATCGTTACAGTAAGGGCCAGGCGGAAGACAAATAAGGTTCAGGTTCAGTGAAGCAGACTAGTAATTTAGTAGCATTGTGGTATTTACAGGTAAGGAAAACCAAAATCAAAATATTCCTATATAGTTCATTTTAACTGAACTTCTCGCCTTTATATAAATATCACCAGAAGACCACGAGCATCAATAGTAGCACTGGGCAGAAACATGATGTCCATAGCACCTGCAGGGGTATGAACAGGGTTGTAGGACTCTTAAGATATTTCTTATTGTGTCAAATGTTGAATCCAGTTTATTGGTTCTACTCAATGTAAAAACAAAAACAAAAAAAAGACCCCAAAACACACAAACAAAACCTACTTGATTCGTTAATTAAAAACATTTGTTTATTTTATTCATCAATGTCTACTGTGTGGTACGTCTGATATTTTCGTACAAAATTGACTTGATAAACGTTTCACGATAAAAGAGTTATATTTTGTAATATGTGATTCCGCTTTGAAAAGCATTAAAATGGCAATGAATCCAATGAACGAAAATCCGAATGGTTCAGCTACAAGTGGATCAATATATTTTTAATCTGCAGAACATAGATAAGATAAGATAGATAAGATAATATTTTTTGCAGAAACATTCCATTATGGGACTGATGCAATTTTGTAAAGATGAAACATTATGATTCATATATACATGTATACAGACATACATAATTTACATTCCTGTAGACACAAAAACCAATCAATATTACATATTTGATGATATTATTATACATAAAATGTCAACGGTTGGGCCGTTCGTCACGCTGAAGACCCGGGTTCGATTCCCGACAGGGGTACAATGTGTGAAGCTGATTTCTGGTGTCCCCCGCTGTGATATTGCTGGAATATTGCTAAAAGCGGCGTTAAACCATACTCACTCACTCAACGGTTGATTAGGTTGAAGGGGTATTTATTGTTTAAAATAATAGACATGGAAACAAATGCAGTTGATATTGATGGCTTCATTATTTGACATGATGTAGTGAAATAATTTGTTTTTATGGCTGTGAACATGTACATTTACTTTTTGGGTGGATAATTTTCCAAAGAGTATATTTCTTTCTTGAGCGTGTTGGGTACAGTGAAGTAGGTAGAGCTTTCCATCATCAATGGCTAAACATGTAAAGTATAGCCTCTGATGTAGTAGGGTTGGTTTGTATGTCTTACAAGTTCAATATTTAATTTATGGTTACCTAATCTTAGTTTAGAAATATTAATGTTTCGAAAGTTGTAAAAATTACATCAATATCAGTACGTCAGACCTTTACCCCTCCACTGCATTTGAACTCGTCAATAGATCACCAAAACCTGGCCCTACCCCAATAGTAGACCGCCCAAAGGAGAAACCAGGAATTCTTCTCTACCCCCCCTCTCTCTCGATAAGCAACCCAACCTATGCCCCTGGAATAGATGTCTCAGTGGTGCTGTTACCCCATATTCATCAACTGTGCGCACCTTGCAAACTTGGCACACTTGGCACTTCCGGTGGCCTGGCACTGGCCTCAGTGTCAACTATCGACATGGATGCTAGGTCAAATAACCCCAAACACCCTGTCCCCACTGGTGATATGTCACCAACCTATGTGTCAATTATGGTAGCATTTAAAGGATCTCATGGTGGATAGTATTTCAGGAGAGAATAGTAAAACAACAAAAACTACCAAAATTCAAGCATAGCTGTAGCATCTGACACAAGACACATACCAAGAATGGTGGCAGGCACACATCAAAACCAAAGGGGTGTTCACCTAAAGATGTACATATATTGATCCATTTGAATGAAGTGAATATGACGACGAGATTGTTCTTGTCGAGGAGATAATGCCTACGAGATGGTTTCTTGTCGAGGAGATAATGCTGACGAGATGGTTCTTGTCGAGGAAATAATGCAGACGAGATGGTTTTGTCGAGGAGATAATGCAGA